CTATGAGATGTCCCAGATGAGGTCAGGAGCACAGGAGAGCAATTAAACCAGGGCACGGCCGACCTCTCACAGCAGGGGCCCGACTCCATAATGACCCTGCTGACTAGTCAATTCTGGGTATATCTTGTTCTGGCCATCTTGTCATCTGGCGCACACTTTGTCTCAGACAATTTTATGCTCTGTAAATGATCAAGAAGCAGGGTTATTATTCCATATTGTGGAAAAGAAGAAACCCTGTGTTAAACTCTTGGCCATATAACCCATGTTTTCTGTCCTAGTATTTCTGAGCAGGGGTGAAACTCTTCAGTCAGTCCCAGTTCATCAGATTTTGGTGTGACCCTGTGTCCCTGGTTTCCCATCAGCCCCTGACAGCACCAGTGGCTTACCTCCCTGTGAGGACAAGGCTCACTCTGTCTCATACCCATAACTGTCATAATTCAATACAGCAAAGTGGCGAGGGGGATGGGATGAGAAAATGATTTTTTCCACGTCAGACTCTCACCACCATTATGGTTTTGTAGAAGCAGTTTCTTTGCAGTGTTCTCTATATCCAGTTTTACGCTAGGAGGCCATAAAGAGTTGTATGATTTTAGATTGAAATGGTTTCAACTGATAATGTTGTTACAACCTGACCTTTATTGAGGAGGGGCGTGGTATAGATGATTATATAATTTAATTTGTGTGCTGCTTTGATTGAGTGTGGATGTTTAGACACCAAAAACTATTGTAGGTCATCAGAGCCAACATCAAATATGTAGTGGTAAAAAAGAGGAAGTCAACCCTTTAGAATTACCAGCTTAGGCAAACAGCTAGTATTTGAACCCTGAGACTAATAGCATCAACAAAAGGTAACAGTAGTCAAGAATAAGCAAACTCAATCTCCAATCAATGAAACCAGAATGTGAACCCAGCTGTCACACAAGTTAGATGGAGTTTAGATAGTCATCAGTGTGTGTAAAGGGACAGGATTTAGTTATGTGGCTACTCTCTGCAGAGGTGAGTGACCTGCTGAAGAGGGCAAAGCATACCAACATGAAAACATTATTCCAGCAGGGAAGTTAGGTGGATGGAGCATCATGGACAGCTCGCCATTGAGGAGGAAATGAATCCCCAAGTTTACCAAGGTGTCTTCCAGAATAATGTCAGGGTGGCTGATTGTGATGCAGCTGGACAATGACTGTAAATGTCAAACACCCATTAACATCTGGCTTATGTCTGCAATGGGAATGGATACGATCTGCATTCCCTCCAGAATCAAATGACCCTTTACACAAGTTTCTTTCTGCAGTTACGGATTTGGGGGGGGAGCTAGGTGAGAGAGCGCCTCAGTTTTTGGTGATTCCGTGGCGTTGAACAAGATGCACCAGGGGAAAAAAACAGAGAGGTCAACTCCTTTTGTGACAATTGGAAAGAAATGGTATAAGCCCACTATAGAATGACCAAATCTAAAAAGAATATCTATGTTTTTGGAGTGACCTAGTCAGAGCTCAGATCTTGACCATCAGGGAAGCTGTTGAAGGACATGAAGGGAGCCCTTCACCCCAGACATCCTGAGAATATGGCTGATCTGGAAGCTCTTTAAAACAAGCAGTCCAAATTGATCACTTTTTCCTCTAGAACTTTGTTAATGGGTCTTTTCAATATTATATTTGATTGTGTTTTCTCATTATTGAGGCTACTGTCTTTGTTTCTACTTGCACGGACACTGCTCAAATTACACAGTGTGACCAATTAACAGAAAACTAGCTAATTTCATAAGGGTTTATGTGCCTTTCCTTGCTCTTCTTGCAACTGTACATTTTTGTTAATTCGATAGAGAAATACTGATGTCAATTCCCCAAGCAGGACCCCACCTAAACTGGAACCTCAAAACAACTGAGATTTACTTTCTGTAAGTTTATCCTGAGCATGAGCTGGTGCTAAGGTTTCTGGCAAAGAATACTCAATTCCATTCATTCCTAGGACATGACCACTGTGTCCTCAGTTGTAGATACTGACCTGATGAGAGGTTGTCATGGACAGGATATTAAGTGATGCAAAGCAGAGTGAAGTATTAAACATAATGTGTCATTATGGATAACTCTGGAATAAGTACATGAAAAGTAAACACATCTCAAAAGTGAAGGGTGTTATTAATTTAAATTAAAACCATGGATGTTTTGAATGTTTCTTTACAGTGTGTGTGTGTGTGTGTGTGATGTCCTCATTGGGGTGTCTGAAAAACATGACAGGTTGATGGCTGACCGGGGCAGAGAAGGGTCCAAGTTATTACAGTATCTCAATCTCTATTAGATTTAGTCTCAGTCAGGGGGCCAAACACTGATGTCAGTGTTGACTTTTATACAGCAGAGCCAAGCCAACACACACAAACACACACACACACACACACACACACACACAGTGAGTTACAACAGACACGCTTTTGCTCTGTAATCCATCCATTCTTTCATCACTTATTTTTTCAACACAAACACACACATACTCACCACACACTCCCTCTTCATCATCATATCTCACCCTGTGATAAGAGTCTCATTGCTCAAGCAGAAATCCTCCCACTGGATTTCTTCACTGCAGTTGTCTGACTTTAGGGTCATCTGGCCTGCGTACTATGACTGAACAATTAATTGAATTTATTTCGAAATCGCGATTTCAAACAACACAATTAGAAATCCGCAAAGGCTGCGATTTATTATGCGACGACATGTCATGTCAATGATTTCATTCATGCCGTCCTAGTGTTTAAGTCATGCGGATCAATCAGAAGTGCCCTGGTGAATATTGAACTGAAGCTTGATTGGAAAAAATGATATCGCAAATCAAATCACATATGTGCCAGTAAAAGCGCAATTAGATATTTTTCCCAAATCGTGTATTCCTGCTGCATACAGTGAGCATTGCTGTGTGGAATGCCACCTTGCTCTGCCCATGAAAACACCCCGAGCCCAACCTGCTCCTTGTGTTCTCCAAGCTCAGTGGTGTTTGTCTGGTTTTGTTATTTCTCTATCCGCCAAAGTGAGTTTTAATGGATATAAAGTCTGGAGGGTTTTGAGTTCGGATTAGCCAGCCGTTTATTTTGACAGGCACGTCCAAAGCAATTGTCTCCAACCGCAATCTGCATGTGTGTGTGTGGCCCATTGCGGCCTGTTGTGTTGAACTCAAGGCTCTTTGTTGATGAGAAAAATAAGCTGAAGTACTGTGAGCCAGAGTGATGATGAGTTAAAGCATAAACTATCTGGGCTGGACAGTTTTCCAGCTGAAAAAGGCAAACATTTCAATTTCAAATGTTTCCCACACCCAGAAATTAACTGTCTCTCTTATCAAACTTGTTTTTAAATGCAGCAAGCAGCTGCTTTTGGGATAAATGCTCTGATAAACCCACAGTATGTTACTGGAGCACCAGATCACAGACAGAATCAGTTGAAGAGACATTTTGGTGATTGTTCTGCAGGGAAATACACGTCAACAACCTCTGCCATTCTGTGCTTCCCCTGGAAAGGGTGGAACTGAAAGGTGAGCCAGGACATTATTCTTTCTCTCCGCGCTGTTCCCTCCCTCGGTCTCATGTTCCTCACTGAAAAAGTGCAGTCATGAAGCAAAAAAAAAAGAAAAAGAAGAAAAATACAGCACTGGGTAGCCTCAGTCTTCCTCCCCCCTCTCCCTTCTCCTCCTCCTCCCCTGGTGGCAGATGGGATATTGAACTCAGACCGGCTCCTGCTTCCCCCAGGGGATGGGATGTTGGGGGGGTTACCGCCGCTTATGGTAATGAGTGTAATTAAGGAAGCCAGCCTCTCTCTCTCTTTAAATGTTACTTTCATTCCCTCTTTTATGTGGTTTAAACTCCACAAGTGCAATTAAAAGGCTGGTTATGAAGCTCCAGAAGTGGAATTTCTGTTGATAAACCCAACTCTTGCATCATAGCCATTTCCTCCCCCAAAGTCACAATGTACAGGTTGTCAAAATTTCAACCAGGAGGTCACAGCTCAAGGCCTTCGTACACTTTATAATGCAATATCCCGGTGAGCCTCAGCTAAGGAGGTTTCAATATTTCTGCATGTGTTTTATATTGTTGTGCGTTTCATCATGTAGGTGCATGATGTGAACGTGCCAATTATCACAACACACTTTAAAGAGCATCAGTACAGTAACAAATGAGGAGCTTGGGACGGACCATCTATGGCGACAAAGAGGAGGAGCGAAGACATAGGAAAAGAGTAGAAAAATGCTGCTTTCATGTGCAATCAGAAAGAAGAGCTATAAGAGCTATACATCCATGGGCTTGAGGGAACTGGCCGTTTCATTCTCTTCTTTATGAGTGAAAAGAGAGAAGCAAGGCAAATCTGGTATTTCATATAATAGCGAGTACTATTTTGATAGTTAGGCACACAGCAAGGAGATTATTGGTTCTAATCCTCCTCTCTGGGTTTTGTTTGCATGTTCTCACCGTGTCTGCATGGTTTTTCTCCGGGGACAGGAGATATGCAGATTGGAGTTAGGTTAATTGGATACTCTAAATTGACCATTGGTTTAAAAGTGAATCTGACTTGCCTGCAATTCTGACTGGCAGAGATGGAATCATGACATCTGATGAGATGAGATCGGTGAAGCTGTTTCGAGTCTAATTTGAATGTCGGGCGTCACGGACATTTGGATGACACCACAGGAGCAGTATGGGGGCATTTCATGTTGTTTTTTTTACATTTGAGTGGTCGCCAGTTACTTTAATTGTATTGGATTTGGCTGCAACGCTGTTAAACCCTGGAACTGAGTGTTTAGTACACTCAAACACTTCAGCCACCCCTCCATCGGCATAGTGGTGAGTAGATAATGAGTGGATTTTCATTTTAGGGTGAACTATCCCTTTTAAAAGATTTCCTATCCAAAATCAGCAGAGTCAATTGCCAGATTTCCTCCATGACTTGAATGCAGCATAACTATCCATGCAGGCAGATTTCAAGAGAGAGAGAGAGAGGGGGGGGTAGAGAGACATTTGCAGTGGCGGACGGGAAGAGGAAAGGAGGGAGGGGAAGGAGGAGGAGTACAAAGATCCGGAGGAGATGGAAAGAAAAGTTTGAAAGAAGAAGAGAGAGGTTCCAGCGGCCGGTCGGAGCAGAGGGGGAATACGCGGCTCTGCGAAGAGGAACGTGACTCTGTGCGCGCGGGGATTTGCACTGCTGCCGGGGGAGCCGCTGGGCGGATTCGACGCGCGTGACTCCAAGATGAGGAGCGACCCTGTCGTGTTCACTTCCAGCCGGGGTGAGTGGCCCCTGCCGCGGCCCTTCGTGCTCCCTGACCGAGGGGGGGGGGGGAGTCGCCGCGCACGCTCCTCATTCACTGCATGTAGGAGACCAGAGCGCGTGACGCTGATTTGCGGCGCCTCCATTGCGCAAAGAAAGCCTCGAGCTTGATTGCAGTTGCAGCTCCATTTGCTTTGCCAGGCTAGTGCTCGACTTTGTTGTAATATTTCCATTGTCAGTTGTTTTGCCGTTGCAGTATGTGTTGCACGTATTTCAAGTTTGAGTTGAACTTTTTCACCTTCTTCAACCTTTAGCCACAAACAGGTCTTACTCCCATATGTTTGCTCCACAACAAGCGATGCTTTTGAATGTGAAAATCCGTCATTAAATCTCAGCACTTCTTATTTGGCAGCGTGCCTAGTTCCTTGGCAGCATTGCCCTTAATGCTCGTATGCATGCTGGCACTTGCTGAATAGAAGCAGGGAAATATAGGGGTGAAAGAAATGTAAGTTGAAATGATCGAGAGTGGAATTGGTTTGAGAGGCAGGGGGGTGTAAGGGGCTGGGGGCACCTCTGGATAGATAGTTGGCCCCTGACGGTGACATCAGGGTTGTGGTCACTAATTAAGTGACTTGTTAAAGCCAAAGACCCTTTGAGACTTTTGTCTGCAGGATTCCATCAGAAACCTTCAGGCTTAGCTCAGGCTGCCCACTGCTGCTACCTACCCACCACAGTCTGGACAGAACATACACTACTAGAGCAATATAGAGCATCAATAGAGTCCCCTCTTACCTTCAATGACTGCCAGTGTGAAAGCTAATGCTCCTTTTGTGGTGTTAACGCTTCCCCTAATGGCTTATTGTGCAGCTAACCAGCTTCAAAACCATGCGGCATTGTAACCTTAAAAACAAGTCTGTTTCTCATTACCTCATGGTTGCCAGACAACAGCCCCAGATACAGCAACAACACATTTTATGTTGCATGCTTCAATGAAATATTAAATCAGGAGGAATCTTAAAATCACTGTAAGTGATGAAACTGTGCAGTTGGCTTCTGCTGGAGCAACACCCTTTACTGTACTGTTGTGGCCGACCTGTAAAGTTACTGAACGATTTCAAATGATTTTGAGCACTTGCTAGCACATATCTGGAGAAATGACAACGTTCATCAGTCAGACTAATAACCTTTTTAGTCTTGGGTTAAACTTCCAGGCTCATTAAAATGCTAATCACATTTAAATGAATTGATAAACCAATGAAATCTGTGTATATTATCAGTGGTAAGCGGGTAAGTCTTTAGTTCTATTCATAAAAGTTATTGAAACGTTGCCTTTCATGCACTTATTTTCTATCAGATTACCCAGCTCAAGATAAGCTGCCAGTGCCCAGTCAGATATTACACAGTTCAGGTCATCACTGGGGTAAAGCCACACCATCATGATCCTGGAATGACAACACAAATGCTCCATATCTGTAATGTCTCTTGTTTGTAGTGGTGAATGGAGCCCTACAATAACAGGACCTCTGCTGGCAGCTGCAGGGTATCGGGTAGCCCGGCAGTACTCTGCCCAGCACTTGGTGAGGTTCTGACAGACGTCCATTGTGTGGAAGGGGTTGTAATCACATCTTAGCTGCACATGAGAATGTAACAGATCATGTTTTGGTTTAGGATTTGGACGAGGCTTTGTTTAAGACAACCAATATGCAGGTATTTAGTAGATGGGGGGGGGGGGGCTTTTTAGGGGTTAATATTTGTGGTGGTTTACTTTGTGAGTTAATGAAATAAAGCAGCATTGTACTCAGTGCATATTTCATTTGAGGCCCAGGTTTTAACTTTTGAAGCAGATTATTACAACATACTTTGACTATTTCTACTCCCAAATATAGCCCCTGAATTAGTACTTTTCAGAGTGGGAAAAAGAAAAGATTTCTTCCTTCATAGTTCTTTCAAAGTGTCACTTCAGATTAAGGGTGTTTGATTGCGAATTGTTACTCAAATTACAATATATATGTAATCAGACCTCACCATGTTCACTGTATGTGATGAGAGGTGCTGTCAAAAAAGAAGTGGCATGGAGAAATTCAATGCATTTCTTTTAAAAACCTCTGATTCTGACTTGGTGACTGCTAGTGGGTCTCAAAACAGCAACATTCTTTGCACTTGGTCAATAGTTGTGAAGTTCTAACCAAAAAGTCTACTCAAATCTATTCTTCCTTGACAGTCAAGGCAATTCCATTTCCACGAAGTACTTGTAGTCCAAAATTACAAGTTATAAAAGCTGGTGTTACAAAGGCCTAAAATTGTATGTACTGGTATTCTGAACCCTGTCTTGCATTTCTGACCCCATTGACTCGAGCTGCTGGTGGATTTTTGGGGGAACACTGTCACCTATTTTGAGTCAAGGATTATTTTTAGCAAGCCCTTGCTCAAATAGTGTCCCACTTATGGGGTGCCGTGTTTTGGGGAAAAAATGCACTAGTGTTAAAGTGTTTATTGCCACTCATTATTTGCAGCTTTCCTCACGGAATCCCTGAGTCGACAAGCAATTAATTTGGTTATGTGTGATGTGGGCAGACTGGGTACATGGTGTCACCGTTCTGGCCTACTTGGTCCATTTGGTTCTGCTTTAGAGTCGGGGGCTCACTTTCCTTCTCCGCCTTGTTCATGACTCTAAGTCGCCCGATGATGATTGAAGTTTAAAAGCTTTCATCTGTGAGACGCGTGAGCCCCTCCCTTTTTGGTGGCTTGGGGGGAAGACAGATCCTAGGAGCGGAGAGGAGAGATGAGGAGAAATGAGTTTGTAATCTCCCCCTCCTTCCCTCCAAAGCCGGCCTGTCAGTAAGCTGGCATGCGGGAACAGAGACTTTAATTTTTGAGCCGACTAATCATAGCCCTCCCTGCTTTCCCGCTGTGTCAATATCCATCTGGAAAAACACAAGGAGAAGGATCGGGATCTCAGGCCAAGCTCGAGCACAATTCAGAAGAGCATGATGAATGCCAAATTTTGAATTGGCAACCGGCCTGCTGATTTAACATCATCTACCAAGCATTTAGCTTTGGACTCCTGCCTCAGTTGGAATAGTGCTATTTAGTCTTGGCATTGATGTTTACCTTGGTAATTTGGGTCCATTAGGAGAGGATAATTCCTGATGAGCCTCACAAGGTGCCTTTAATAGGCTTATTATTGTAACAGGATGATCCTGTGAGCTTGTGATGCTGTCTTTCTGTCTGTCTGTCTGCCCTGGACAAAGCTTTTAGGATTACATGTCCAAAGATGCATCGGTAACCGGGGGCATTGCTAATTTAGCGGAGGTGATGCGGAGTGTGTGGGGGCTCACACAGCGAGAGATCTGACAGATTAAGGGAGGTCCTGCAGTAGAGAGAACTGCAACAACAAAGGAATTGCTGAGGAGTAAGTTAGGACAAATGGATACACTTGTGGGCACATAATGTGTTTACATGTGGGATTTCCTTGTGTTTATATGATTGTTATGGTGTGTTCCAACTTGCGTTTGTGTGTCAGTTGCCCGAAATGGGCGTGTCTGATGTGAAGGGGGTCGCCTATGGCGGTCTCTCACTGTTTGCGAAATATTGGGTGACTGTCAAAGACTGTTTGAACATCTAGAGAAAATATGCTACTGGCATCAGACCAGAAAGAGTGTTCAGCCTGTTATATTCTGTCAGTGCGAAGATTTACACATCCCTGCAGATCTCAGACTTTCCCATGGGTGTGCACACTTGCATTGGACTGGGTTAGATGAACTCTGTTTGTTGACAACAGAAGGCCAGAATGTTTGACAGAGATGAGGATATATAGAGTAAAACCACCTGAATCCCATTCATCTGTTTTGTTTTTATTGCGGTGCCTCATATTGATATATGTATGGCTAATTCAACAACTTTCTCTGACATCCCCCAGTAACTTTCTTAGACAAAGCACTTTTTGAGAATAAAGTAGCAACTTTCTCTCAGAGAGAATCCCTGTTGCTGTGTGGTTCTATGTTGATGCATTATCACATGCAAGTCATAAGCCAATGATTAGCATGAAGGCAAACTAGCCCACGACATATTCTAGCATTTTGCAGACCGTTGCTCCTTCCTATGGGTTATCTTGCATGATACATTTAGTTTATGACGGTATTAACTCACTTTAAAGGCTTTATTATGACATTTTGTACTGTAGTTAACTTTATAATTACATCTTTTAAAATTAATTTAACTGACAATTATAGTAACTTCCAAGAACCCCCCCAAAACATTGTTGTTCTTATATCTATTGTTCAAAATCTAAATGCAGAACCCAGCTAACATTAACAAAAAAGCAAATTGTCAATTTATTTTCTGTATTAAAAAACTTTTTTTAAGGAGGATAAGGATCAAAAAATGATAAGAATCCAGTCCAGCAGATTAATATCAGAGATGGCACAGATGCTTAGCAAAAGCTTATTTCTGGGGGCGGGCCTTTTTGTCATTAGGAGATTTATGAATGATGTAAGTGGGTTTGCAACTTCCATAATTTAACTAATCAAAGAGGCCTGTACAATGTGACGCCCATTTCTCACACCTAGGTTGCTACCATACCCAGTCCAACCAGGGAAACCACATGCCCTCTCTTTCCACCAGAAGATAGAATCCCTATGTTGGGGCGTCTATATAATATAACCTCCTTCCCCCTCCCTCCGTCCCTTTTCTCCATCTCCCGCTCCATGTGTTTTTTTGCTGAGTACCCTCTAATTATCTGTTTAAAAGAGATACCAAGAAGAGCGTTCGCTATCTGACTTTGGTTTGCTTTAGGACCCCTCCCTGTTTCCTCCTCTTCTTTCAGATCATCTTTAGAGCTCTGTCAGCACTGCCCTACCCCCCCTTCAGATCGGGGTTTTTTGCACATGTGTTTTTGCGGTCGGAGGAAACATCTGCTCGTACGGTAAACCACCTGTACAGTTCGATAGCAATCAGCCGCACTCTCTGATGTTCGCCTGGCATGTTCCTGTGGAACGAAGAAAACACACAAACCTCAAA